ACAAATTTGGTTGATATAGCAAAACAAAGAAATTTTGCCTGCTCTATCTCTATCTATCTGAAACGATCAATTCAGTGTTTTCTTCTGCTGTCTTTCATCTAAACAGTGCAACCAAAAGAATAAGATAGCATTTATTTTAGCGGCGCTTTACACGATCTACAAAAGTAACACTTTAAAAATTATATCGCTGCTTGTCTGAAATTTCTGTAGCTTGAAACAGTCAACTATATCTAACTTTTTTACGTCAAAATCATAAAATTACAAGTGCGTTGCAATGCTCTCCTTTTAGTGAATAAGTCGTGGCTTATCTCCTCCGCCTTTAGAATGGAAGCCGTTCGAGTTTTAATCAGTGCCTCTAAACTTCAATTATTCAAGTTTCAAAAATACTGATTAAAAGTTGAATGCTTTTAAACTGGAATGTGTACAGGCACAGACGAATTGTGGCTACCTAGGTCGACTTCAGAATAGCAGAACGTAAGATGTTCATAGTTTCGCAAAATCGCTACCACCAAACACAACCGACGGCTATTTGCCCGAGTAAATCGACAGAACTATTTTATTTCCACCGTAAAAGAGTTTCATGTTGTTTGCTAGATTTGCTTAAATTTTAGATAACATTGGTCTGTTTTTAAAACCAAACAAACGTACAGTTCACAGTTCTCAAAATCTGCTGTGAAAATGCTTTACAAAAATTTTTAGATTGCTATAAGTGTAATTACCGTTTTTTATTATTATTATTTATTTTATGTAGTCTTCGCATTCAGTAAACAAATTCCTTTTTGGTAAAATATTATGTGCACTGTTATTTCCCTGTCATTACTGTGCTGCCAACAAATTCAAAAATACTATAACGTCTAATTAAACTGCAATGAATGTTTTGAAAAGCAGACAATAAAGAAATAGATAAATAAAAAATTACTTTTTCTTATCTGCTGTATTAATTATTTCTTCTAAATACTTTTATTTTTGAACCGATAACTGTTTTATTATGCTAGTTCAAAATTCAATTCCTCACTTGTCTTGACAGCTACGTTCAGAGAAAATGGTCACATAAGAACAAAGAGGTGCAGTAAAGAAATAAAAATAAAATAAATTAAGCAGAGTGATTGTAAGCCGTGTATGAAAGTTATTGTTAATCAAATAAAACATAAAAATGCTATTAAAAAATTACAAAAACAAAAAGCAAATGAGCAAATAAAACGCCGATCAGCAAACTGACTTACGCTGCTACCAGTACTGAAATCATGGTAGTCTAGACCTTATTGCTTCCTCTGTTTGTCACTTATATTTTGACCTCACTTAACCTTATCATTTCCTGTTTTCTTTCTTTTTTTTTTTTGTTTTGTTGCTGGTCTTTTACTTGCAAAACATTGCTGTTTAAATTAGCAATCTTTCTTAGGAATTGATTTATTGTCTCTTTTATAGCAGTAGCAATCGGTGCACTTTTCGGCTCACTAAAATGCTGCTTACTTTTATAGCTTTTCTTCCTTTTAACCGATCTTATTTTTACTGACAAAAACTTTTTCAATGTGCAAAAAACTTGGCTATCATACCTGTGAAACATCTTAATCTATTATTTTGCAGAATTATAGTACCATTTACAGATAGGTTAACTAC